CCCCCGAGCCTCCTAGTAACGCTCAACTCTCGCGAATCCACCAAGAGCTCGGGAAAAGTAACGCCTCTTCCGCCCAGCCCGGGAAACTGTACGTATTATAGTTTGACGTCGCGAGTCCCGGCTGCGCAGTCGCAGTTCAGAACCGCTGTCTCGGCCTACCTTCACTCAACCCCGGAAATAACGTATGGGTTTTCGGGCTCCAAGTCGGAAGTTGATTAGAGAGTCGGCTGACTCCGTCACCTCTAGGGCACGGGGTTCGGTAGGCAGCCATCTTATCTAAAGCTAATTTGTGAGCCTCTTCGAAAAAAGGACAAAAACAGGGGGAGAAGGGGCAGTTTTATGTTAAAAAGGGGAAGGATGAAGACGGTTAACGTAGAGGATCCTGAAGGAATAGTTCGGTTTTCAGTGGGTTCTGGCGTTCTGGATACGTCACCACGATTTAGCATCTACGATATGGTGGCGTCATCACCGAGCGCCTTGGGAGGTGGGGTCGCGCTGGCCACGTGACGGGGCCCACTCGAACGGCCCGAGCGTTAAAGCGGCTGATGCGACAATTGTGGCTCCGCTTTTTTACGTTGACGAAGCACTTTTCTGGTATTTTCGCCACCTTCACCAACCATTCTGCAACCCTCTAGTTCTACCTCAGGGTTGGGATTCGACTTAGCCTGTGGACCAGAGAAAATGTAGGCTGAGATTTCCTGGGATTACATCATGTTCCTCTTTTCAGATTATTTTAGCCTTTGGCAGCCTTAACTCTTGGCAACACGGTTGGGAACGAACAGTATCCTCTGGGAAGTCAGATAACCCTCACAGCTTTATATATCGCCCAAGGTAGCCATTAGAATCAGCAAGTCTGAGAAGCCAAAAAGCTACTAGAAAAGTGCAGGCTGATCATTGTCGTAGAGAAGATTCGGGAGTACAGCGCAAAAATACACGAACTGCAGCTACTCCCAACATGCGTGAATCTCACAAACCTGACGTTAAGGGAAAGAAGCCAGACATGCAAGAGTTCATGTCGTTTGGTTTTATTTAAATGAGGTCTAAAACCAGTTAATCTAATCGGCTGTGGTGTTAAAAATCAGGACAGTCTTTATTTGGATGGGGGACAATGACCGAAAACAGCCACGAGGAGGCTTTTAGTTTCAGTTACAGTTCGGTTTCTTGATTTGGATGTTGGTCAGAGGTGTGTTCACTTTGTGGAAATTTCATGGAGCTGTAAACTTAAGTGTGGTTTTCTTGTGTGTGTTATACTTAGCTGAGAGTTACATTTATAAGTAGGCCCAGGAGGGAATTTTCCCGAAAAGATGAAATGTTACGCTGATACACACAATTGTCAAAATTAATAGAATGAACTCTAAAGATCTGTACGTTTTATTGTATGTTAATTCCTGTTTTCTTAAAAAAGTGGCCCAAAGCCTGGAATTACGTATACTTAAATTAGGAACAAATAGTCTATTGCCCTCCATGAAAGCTTGGCCTAATGCAGTGATTTCCCAGTTTGCTTGATGCACCTGGGGCAACTCTCCCCACCCCCAGATATCCTAAAGTCACAAGATTTTCGATGCCATCTATTATCCCCTGACTCCCAAATCCGCAACACCTCTCCTCTGGACTCTGCTTGTGCTTAGATGTCTGAGAAGTACATCAAATTCAACTCTTCAAAAAACACAAAAGCCTCCGGAGCCTCCTCACACCCCCCTCAGTGTCTCCAGTTATTCTCCAGCTCTGCGAATGCTCACCTCAGAGTCCTCATTGCTCCGGCCGTGGAATTCCTACTCGAGTCTTCAACCTCAAGTCCTACCCTCTGTGCTGTAACAAGACTTACTGGCCCTACCTACAAAGTATGTTGATAATCAAAACACTGCCCACAGCCTCCACCGCTATCACTGAAGACCAGGCCGTAGTTACTTTATCCGGAGTTTTAGCATCGTAACTGTTTTCTCTCCTCACTGTGCCTTTGTAGTTTTCCACAGCAGCCAGAGTAATGTTTTCATATTATTATATTCCTTTGCTTAACAGCCTCCAATAGCTTGCTGTTAGGCTGGGAATAAATGCAAACTCTTTGCCATGACCTAGCGTGTGCGGCATGATCTTATCTCACCTAAGTAGCATATCATGTCTTACCTTCCAGAACTCTTCTCTTCACCGCTCCCCGATCTCCCTGGTTTAAATCCACAGAGTTTGCTGCGTCTCCCTCTTTCTCTCTGCCCCTCCCCTGCTCGCACTCTCTCTCTCTCTCAAAAATAAACATTAAAGATATTTTAAATCCACGGAGTTTGCTCTCACCTCAAAGTCTGTATTCTTGTGCTTTGCTCTCTGGAATGCTTTTCCTCCAGACCATCACATAGATCATTTCTTCATTTACTCAGGTCTCTCAAAAGTAACCTCAGGGATCCTCTTCTTGATGATATTAGATTTCAGAGAAGCAGAATCAGTAGGTGACAGATACTTATTACAAGGAATTAACTTCTGCATTGTGGGAACTGGCTAAGCAATACCCAAGTCTGTAGGCTGGACAAGCAGGAAGGGATTGTGGGCAGTCTGGGCCTCATGAAAACGGGTTGAAGCTTTCATCCACACAAACCGGGGAGGGAAGAACCCCATTCTTCTCTCAAGTAAATCTCAGCCCTGCATTAAGACCTTCCCCCTGATTCAATTAGGCCCACCCAGATTATCCCAGATAATCTCCCTTACTCAAAACTGATTATGCAAAATACTTTACATAGCAACACTTAGTGTTTGAATCACTGGGAGTGTAGGCTAGCCAAGTTTACATATCAAAAACCATTTTACCGGGGCGCCTGCGTGGCGCAGTCGGTTAAGCGTCCGACTTCAACCAGGTCACGATCTCACGGTCTGTGAGTTCGAGCCCCGCGTCGGGCTCTGGGCTGATGGCTCAGAGCCTGGAGCCTGTTTCCGATTCTGTGTCTCCCTCTCTCTCTGCCCCTCGCCCGTTCATGCTCTCTCTCTGTCCCAAAAATAAATAAACGTTGAAAAAAAAATTTAATAAAAAAAAAAAACCATTTTACCAACCTCATCGCCCTCACTATTTCTCTCCACCCTCTTACCCTGTTTTTCTTCTTGGTAATTATTACCACCTGCCATATATTAGTCTTTTCCTACTACAACATTCTTGGGAGGGGGATTGTGGGCATTCGGGAATGTCTTTTTTGGTTGTCACAACTGGGGAAATATTACTAGTATCTAGTGCGTAGAGGCCAGGGATGCTACTAAATATTCTACAATGCAGAGGACAGCCCCTCCCCCCACCAAAAAAAGAACGCTTTGGCCCAAAATGTCAATAGTTTTCTCTGAGGTTGAGAAAAATTCTTTGCTAGGGTTTAAGCTTCACAGAGGCAGTATCTTTTCGTCCACTTCATTTCTAGCACTTAGAGACTGGCACCAAAAAACAAAAACAAAAACAGACTGGCACAGTAGACAGGCAGTAAACTTGCTTGAATTAATGTAATGGACCTGGTAATCTGCATTTTGTTTTATTTTTATTTTTATTAAATACTATGATTTTTATTTTGTGAGTCCATGCTAAAGCCTGAACTTTTCCATTCAAGTAAACTTTTTTTTTTTTTTAAGTTCATTTTGAGAACAAGGAAGGGGGCAGAGACAGAGAATTCCAAGTAGGCTCTACACTGTCAGCTCAAAGCCCCAATGCCAGGCTTGAACTCACTAACCATGAGATCATGACCTGAGCTGAGGCTGGACGCTTGACAGAGCCACCCAGGTGCCCTGCAAGTAAACTTTTAAAAGATTTTGTTCTGTCTCCCTTTGACAGTAATCAAAAGCTTTGTTATAGGTGAAATTTCAAAAAGGTGAAATCAAGAATCCCATGCAAATATAAAAGGAGCGTGTGACTATTTTATTCAACTCCGTTAATGAAGGAACCCAGTAAGTTGTTAAACGTGTATCACAGTGCATTTGCATAATGGATACTTAGAGGCAACTTAATAATGGAATGTTAGTGTCAGTAAAGTTAGAGGGGCACCTGGGTGGCTCAGTGGATTAAATGTCCAACTTCAGCTCAGGTCATGATCTCACAGTTTGTGGGTTCAAGCCCCACATTGGGCTGTGCTGACAGCTCAGAGCCTGGAGCCTGCTTTTGATTCTGTGTCTCCCTCTCTCTCTGGCCCTCCCCTGCTTGTGTTCTCTGAAAAAACAAACAAACAAAAACAAAACTTAAAAAAAAAACCCATAAAGTTAGATACAAACTGGCTAATGTCTTACAGGGTAGTAAACTACATACAACCTTTGGAGTTATCCATTCCACTGAAAAGCAAGTAGGGACTTGCATCCCTCCGGACATAAATCTACAGTTTAACATGTAGCTTCACTAAGTATAGGACCTTTAATCAGTAGTGAACAGTGAATCCCATTTACTGTTCATATCAAGAACCCTTGACCCATAACTGCAAACCTCGGTATTTTCTGAATAATTTTGCTGTTTTACTTTTTTATGCAAAATTTCTTGTTTAAAATGCCACATTGGCCAGGGGCACCTGCCTGGCTCAGTTGGAAGAGCGTGTGACTCTTGATCTCGGGGTTGTGAGTTTGAGTCCCACACGTGTGACTCTTGATCTCGGGGTTGAGTCCCACGTTGGGTGTAGAGATAACTGAGAAAAAATTAAAAAATATGACATGGGCCAAACAGAAGAGGTGTCTGGTCTGGATTTGGACCACAAACCGTTTGATTCCACCATCTCTGATTAATATTTATTAACACGTGCTGAATTCTAAGAGGAGCCAACTAATTTCTTGGATTTCACGTAGGTTCCATGGACTCCCGGAATAAAATGCACATGGGGAATCTCTGCACTCTGCGCCCACTTCGAGAACTCCTCTGGAGTTCTTCACTTACAGGACCACCCACCGTGCTGTACTTTGAAAGACTCAGCAGCTACCTCATCCAGGATGAGCCAATCCAATGTTGTGAGACTCTGGAATGGGGACACAGAGATGGTAGACCAGCAGGTCACCTGAAGAGAAAACTTGTGAACTTGGGAGTTGTGCTCCTGGAAGCAGGAAAAGCTTGTTTTCTGAGAGAGAAGCAGCAGCAGATAACCATGACCTGGGAAGACACGCAGATTATGAAACAGTTGCCTATGTTCCTGATGGCATTCCAGTCCTTGTCCCAGTGTCTCTTTAGGCCCAGCTGTTTGGCCTTTATGAGATGACCATACCTAGTCCTTTTAATTAATTGCCTTATTATGATTAAACTAGCTGTGAGAGCTTCTGCTACTTGCAACCAAGGAATCTCTATAGAAAGAATAGGGCACTTGGCCGTGCCGCCGTGCACGGTACCAATTTGCAGGGTAGAGCCTGGAGCAAACTCCTGGCATAGTTTTTCTTTCTAAGTTGACTGGAGTCTAGTGTCAGGTAAGAAGTGTTACATAAAGAGTGGGTTCAGGGGATTCAGAATAAAGTCAACTAGAAACGTCAAAAAGACATACATGGACTTCAGAACAAACATTTATTACCACTTAATGGGGCCAAAGGGGCAACACAAACCACTGAAAACATCACCGACTCACAGAAATAGTCACCTTGTCACCTTTTGGTTGAATTTGTTTATTTCACAAGGCTTCATTCACACATGAAAACAAGATACTAATCCAAGTTCATAACTGTTAAAAAAGTAAACATTTCTTGGGACAATGTACAATAAATTGCACTTTTCTTAACAAGCATTACATTTACAGATAGCATGTACTATACATAATACATGGAATTATGGAAATATTGAATTGGTCAGTGTTCACAGAGGCTGCTCATCCATGTTTCTTTTGTAGTCAGCACTACAATCAACTCCTTTCTTCTAGAACCTGTTTTCATCAGAGAAGTCATGGGCAAAATCACAGAACTCATAAAAATAAATGGTACAGAATTTCTGCTACCTCCTCAGCAAGGGAAAGGTAGGAGTTGAAAGAAAGGAAGTGATGCTCATTGAGAAAGTTCTTCCTTCGTTGAACTGAGGATCCAGACATTATGCAAAACATCAAAAATGGAGAAAGTGATGCAAAAGGCTATTGGGTCATCTTGGATTCTGGGACCATCTCCCGCTTTATTCTTGTGCTTGCATGACACCAGAGTCCTGATGCGTTTATATACTTATAATTGAGTTTCCTCATACTTTATTCCACATGTAATATAGTTATTAAACGTTACATTTTAATGGAAAAGATTTTACATGTTTTAGTTCATTGCCAATGAAAAAGGGAAATGACTTTAAAATGTTTGGTTTTTACTCAACGATACTTTTTTCTTAAAGTTTTCAGAATACTACTAATGACAGACCAAGGACGGAGGTGGAGAGAATGGACATGATGATGTCTTTATAACATGTAACAAATTCATTCGGAGAGACACTGGCCATGCAGTCTTTTAGATGGAAGCCGGGAAGGGAACACCTGACAGCCCACTGTAGTCCCTAAGCTACTTGTAAACATCTACTTTTCTCCTCACATCTCACGATCATCAGCTGTGGAGGTACAGCCCACATGGAGGTGTTCATTTTGGTTAGCTTTCGGGAGAGAGGGGAATTCCTAAGATTAAGGGCTTTGCCTGTATTACACGGACGTCACTTTGCGAAAGGAAAGGTGTTCTAGAACAGTTCCAGCTCAGCGTGACGTCAGCATGGCAACCAGAGGGAAAGACAGTTCTGTATCTGGTAGTAGGAGATACGGGCCACTAGACTTTTGGTTGGCCTCGGCTGTATTCAGTTGCACGGTACCTGGATGTACAAAAAAGGCAGGGATGCTCCCTGCGGAACCCTACCACTCACGTGCACACGCAAATCTAACGGTGTTCAAGTTAAACAACAGAGTTGGTCCATTGCCTCATTTATTTGTAACTGAAGCAAGAAAAGCAGAGCTATTTTAGACTTTTCGTGGTTCGTTTTAACGAGGAAGTTGTACAATAGAATCCTCTTGCTGAGTAATTAAAAGTGTTCTTTCCCAGAGAGAGAAAACAAACCAGGTTATTTAATTTTTTTAAATTTATTTTTAAATTTTTCCCTTAAAGAGGTCCTGAAATCACACAACCACTCTGGCAGGATAATTAGGCTGATTTCAGCTACAGAAAACAAGATCCCTTACATTAGTTAGATACATGATCTTCATCCTCAGTAACAAATCAACTCCTTTAAGGATTTCTCATCTCACGCCCTAAACTGTGTATTCTCTTGTTTTTCTCACTTCCTCTGGGAAATAAAGCCATAGCTATTAACTGTTAAATATTTTAAGGAAATGGAGGAGGTGTTTGAGAAAAATAAATATTAACACATAGTATAAAGGAATGAAAATTTTGGAAAAAATATGAAACAAGATAACTATTATTATTAAATATCCCAACATCAGTGCAAAGATTGCTTTTGTACTTTACTATGGAAATTTAAGACGACCAGTGGAGAAATTACTAACTTACTAGCTGGGAGAGGGAAAGAGAGAGAGGTTATATATGGAAAGAGAGGTCGTAGGCCCATATGACATTCCTATTAGTGTTTCTGATAAGCACTCATAAACAGGACATTAGGTAACTGAGAATATCTTTGCATTAAATTATACGTAACTAAATATAACCAAATTGTGCCATAGCTTGGGATGTGGGAAGCTAGCAAACATGTGCACCGCAAAATTCAGCCTGGTTTCTTTCAGCTTGAAAGAATGTGTTAAACAAGAGTCTCGAGATACAAAAGCTAATGAACTGAACTATGAAATTGAAATTCATTCCCTTAATTTATTCTGCAGAATTTAATGAAAGAAGAAATCATCACTCTTTAGAATTCTGCAAATGTTGGATTTTTTGGAGGAATGTTTTCTACAACATATCCTAGGAAAAGACAAAAAACACTCTAGAATATTTGCAAATTTCCTAGATATTTGGGTTAGTTGATATCTAAAAGAAATTCAAGAGAAGAGTGGCAATTTTCAAATATGTTTCAAAATAAGTGAAATTAAAACTAGCAGTTACTTAATACCGGGATGCACAAGTTTGCACACTGTATGTGGGGAAGGATATGTGGTTTGGGAGAGTGCTATGAGAACATATTGAATGAATAATCACATCCTATACCAAATTTTGAATTTTCTATCTTTAGTATTGCTACTGACCCAAAGGCATTGCACAAAGGAACAGTTCAGACTTATGGTACCAATATACGTACCTAAGTATGATATGGAACTGGAGAAGAAAAAAAAATCTATAGATGGCCATTAAAATCTTTTGAAAGAGTTAAGAGAAAATTCAAAAGACATTACACATTTGGAATGCAGGTAGCTGGTGATTTTGTTTAAAGAGAAAAAGATGTTAGGGGCTCTGGAACTGAGCCAGGTGTACAGGTAAGGACTGAACCCACAGCCATTCTATTTGTCCCTCAACTGCGATGTAAGGAAAATACTGCAATTTAGGCATTCTGTGGAATGTGCTGAGTTTTGGAGGTTAAAAAGAGCTCTTACAGGAAAACTATGAGAGTCACAAAACACAAAAGAACATCTTTAATTTAGCTGGCCATTTCATAAGGCAACTTGTACAAGGCTTCCTGGAATAAAAGCATAAAGTACCAGCGAGGCTAAAAAATTATACTGAATGATTTACAGAAACAAGTACCAAGATGCAATTTTTCTAGCCATTATATTTAAACAACAACAACAAAAAGATTACCTTTGCTAAATCACCGAGTAGGGAATATTAGTCAACACACACTCAAGAATGCTGGATTATTTTCTTTTTGGTACAAGGAAATGAATATTATAATGAAAGATGTCAGGACCAAACAAATAATTCTGTAAAAAAAGTATTATTTGATGAGTGTAACAAAGGGTAACATCCATATCGGTTTCATGGGTTGTAGATGATATAAACACAAGTGAAGGGGGCTTAACTTTTTAGAGTTTAATGATCATTTTGGAGGAAAGGATCTATCACGAGCAACTTGTAGCACGTGCTCCCGGAGTCGAGATGGCTCTTCCTTAATTTTTACTTCCAAGAATGTGTTACTCTTAATTGCACCATGTGGCACAGACGAGAATCCCTGTGGCACTACAGAGTTTAAGGTCCTTGCTAAGAACGTGTTCAACAATGAAGCCAAGGATGAGTATCACTATATGTTATTGTACATGCTGGCAGCAGTTTGGGTGGTGCAAAGGACCAAAGGCCTCCAAACTAGCTTAGAAGATGGGAAAATTGGTTTTGTCCTTACCCAAGGATTTCCTGCAAGGATGATCCACACAGACATGTTAAATATCATTGAAAAAACTATTTCCACCAACTTTTAAACACTAGCTTTCCCTTTCCAGGAGATAAGTATTTCTATAAAGGTTTTGTATTCAATCAAAAATGTTACCAATGCATTCGCATCTCTTCCTCTCGGGTACCAAGGGCACATTTTGTAGGGAGATACAGAAATCAGGAAAAGTTGCCAAACAGTAAACTAAGATGATGTGAAGCTGGCCTGTATTTCCCATTTCATAACTTTAAAAAGCTACAGTATATTAGTGTTTCCTTAGCAAATATATGTCAATATCAAATGAAATACTCTGTCCCTGGCTCTCTATTTCATTTTAAGCACAGTGCCTGAACCTGGGCCTCTCTAGGCTTGTCTGGTAAAGGTTCCCTACTGCTGCAGCTCGCACTAGACCCTCCTGACTTCACGTTTGCTGCAAGTGTTCATACTTAGGAATATGCAATCCCCATGCAGAGTTTCTCAAAAGGACCCGTTAGAATACTAGGGCCAAATGGTTTATCTTCTCCTGCGTTTATCAAAATCCCAGTGCCTTTCATCTAGCGTGTATTGTCAATAGTCTATCTTATTCTATGATTCTTGCCATTTCATTTCCAGATATACCCAACAGAAAATGAAAATAAACTAATTCCTTTTGGGGACTGCTCAATCCCAGGTTTACTCTTTGGACAGGATTATCGTTATCCAGGGAATCACTTTTGGGAAGAAACCTGATGGTCGTCACGAATGGCCCCACAGTGTGCTTTCTGTGAATAAGTCCTGAAAAGTTAAGAGCTTTCGGTTTCAATCTTTTTTTCTTTCTTTCTTCTTCTTTTTTTTTTATTTGCTGTGACAAATATCATCTTATCACTTCAACCTTGGAATAAAAGACATCTCCGTTTTTATGGAAGATAAAAGTAATTATGAATAATTAGTTCTACATAAAAGGCATTTAGTTCTGAATTACTTATTTCCAACTAAACATCAGGCATATAAAATAATGTGTAATCACTATGATGGAACTGAACGTGGCCTCCCATGAAGAAGCTCGAAAACAGGTATTCAACATAAGTCAGGGCAGTTTAAGTAACATCCCTTTGAAAAGTATCAAACAAGAAAGAGAGCTACTGAAAGATTCTGGCTTGCTTTCTGGCCTCCTTTACTTTCCTTCAAAGGGACACTGGGGAGAGTCCTCCTGGGTTTCTGTCACTTTGATCATTGTGCTCTTGTGCTCGGGCGAGGCTGGAACTATGTGCTCTCCTTGGGTGGCTGGGTGGCCTGTGGTGGCTGCAGCGGCTGGGTGCCCGTGGCCGTTTTGATAGAGTTCAGGGTTTTGCTAAACCAAGAGTTTTTTGCAGCTTGGATTTCATTCATAAGGGCTCCTCTCTGATGTTCAAGTTCCTAATTAAAAAAAGAAAATCATTGCATTGTATAAATGTTTACCCTCTGCCCCCCAAATTAAGAGTATACTGCTTTTTGGAATCCCCAAGTCTGTATGAGCCATAGCTTTCCTCCCACAAAACCCAGGAGAGATTAAATTGGCTTCTTAATGCACTTTAGAGTTAAAAGAGTTACCGCTGAAAATCAGAAACTGCTTTCTCTGAACAGTGAAATGAAACCTCATTTTATCCACCCACCCCCCCCACCCCGGGCAATCTCGGTCCAAATTTAGGCTCGGGTTCGAAACCACAACTAAACATAGACGTGTGCATGGACTGAATCTGAATTTTCACTGATAGTGTAAGCATGAATGAGTTCTAGTTCCAAACACATGGCCTTTGCCCCTGAGGACATACAGGGTCCAGCACAAAAATAGGTTATGGCGATGGGTAAGGATCTTGGGGAAAAGGGAATGGGGAACAGTCCATCAGAATCCAGGATGATTTTTCTAATTATGTTATCTTCCAACATGGAAAGAGATTATAGGAAAAGGGATCTGGTAAAACCAGGTAAAGACGAAGGATAAAAAGCCCCTCCAAGAAGCAGGGGTATCAGCCAATGTTCAACTGTTCAGGGAGGGATAACGGAGAAAAGTCTGGCCTTTCATTTTCAGGATCAGCTACCAAAGTGGCTAAGTTCAATGAGAAAGGACCTTGGCAAAAAACACAAAAAACCGGAAAAAGCATATGCCTAAATTCCCCCAAGATCTCATTTTAATTATTACATTTTCATTTAAAACTATGCGTTTATGTCACTGCTTAAACACAATGACGTAACATGCGACTACGCGGGACACCTCGGTAGGCAAACAACGTAATCACCTATGGAAGCGTCTCAGACTCTGAGCCAGACACGCACGTTCCAAAGCGTGAGAAGGTGTCCTGGCGCCCTAACTGTTTGCTCCTGTTGATCCTTTACCAGATCACCAACCTGGATTTTGCACTTAGCCTCCACCAGCTGCAGCTTGGTCTGCGCCAATTCCAGCTCCAACTCCCTCAGCTGCTTCTTCAGGGAGTCCTTCTCGTCGTCCGGCTCGATCCCCTGGTCCTCTCTGCTGATGGCCACTAGTTTCAAAGTGCCCTCTTTGCTGAAAATGTCACTGCAGTGTTTACACGTCATCATCTTACCCTGAAACATCCGAAAGGGATAACCAACCTCAAACCATTTCATAGCATAACGCGCTTCCTGAAACAACAGGACACGGGTTTTATTGAGACTCTGCTTGTGGTCATCAGATGCAGGTCTGTTTCTGGAGGTAATTACTTGTCTTGTGCTGCCACCAAAATGGTTTTAGTCAGCACAAAACCCAACTTTTCAAGATAGGTGCTCCTTTTTTTCCATAAAGTATCTCTAGGGAGACCCTGGAAACGGAAAATATTATAGCATCTCTCTGAAATCTGTTCTAGGAATGTTGGGCTTCCACTCCTCTTCCTCAAGCGCCATGCCATACGCTCTACGAGCAGTGTCTCATTTAATCCTACAGCGAGGTCATCAGGTACTATTAAAACCCCCATCGTACCCTGTGAAGGAACTCAGAGTTTAAGTACCTAGCCCACAGCAGACTGAGAAAGGCCATGATGACTAACCTAAATCTATCCTTGCAACAAATAAAGCTTAGGTCCTTTTGTTCAGCTTTAAGCAAAGATGACCATTACTGTTCCAGGTAATGAAGGTAACTCTGCCACATGCCGAGATCGCCAGTCAAGCACACAGCACTCTCTTCAAGACAACAGTGCTATTGTTGTCTTAAAATATATGCAATATTTCTATTTTAATGTACTATCATTATAATCTGTCCACAACAGAAACCATACTCCTCTCTTCACACACACACACACACACACACACACACACACACACACACGCACGCACACACACACAGAGCAACTCTCCCCACACTTCTGTGTCATTGTGCCTATTTCTATCATTTAGGCCTGAACACTTCGGGGTTATCTTCTCATTGCCTCCTCCTTCAATCCATAGTCATCTGGTCATTAAATGATTTCTCTGACATGTCCAAGCTCTCCCCATCCCAGGCCTGAATCCCTAAAAGTCACCTTCTCAGCCCCCACTGATTTCTTTCTTCTCCCATCCTTAAAGCACTCTTCAGATTCCTACCTGATTAATATTCATTAGTCACTTAAAAGATATTTGTAACTCTCAAGAACCTTTTGAGGATAATCAGCCCACTACTGGCACTAAATAGGCACACAGCAGGTATTTGTTATATATATTTATTGTTGACCAAATAAAACGTTAAAGTGGTGGCTTTTGATCGGGGTCTTAAATGATGAAAAGTTTACCAAGCTGGGTAAGCAGTGTTATTAGGCTGAACTGAGGGAGGAGGACATTTCAGCAGGGAGAACACTGGGTGCAGAGACACCGGCCCTTCACAGGACCGCAGGGAGCCTGAGATGGCTCGAGCGGGAGTAAATGGCGCAAAAGGGAGAGGCAGGAAGTGAGAAGGGTTCTCCACGGCCATGATGTAACGGTCCTTAAATGTAATGCTATCAAATCCTGCTTTTATCCTACAGAAAATGCATTCACTCACTCTATCCTGTGCTATCTGTTGGAGAGAGACCAATGAGCCTCATGACGCTGCAGTCAGGCGAACATGCTGAGTACAAAGCTGTGGTAGAGACTGCAGGTTCCCACCAGATCCATCTCCCGCGCTGCCAGCGGTGAGCCTGACGCAGGGCTCCCCTTCTTCCTTGATAACAGAACTCCTGATTTTATTTGGGCTGGCAGTTTGCCCAGTTACAAGGTGCCATTTCCCAGACTCCCCTGAGGCAAGGTGTGCCCGTGAAATTAAGTTCTGATATGTGAGCGGAAGGAAGTGTGGTAGGGAGCTTAAGGAAGCTACTCAGAGCTCACCCTGCTGGAGCTGGGCCCTCCTACCGTCGCATCTCCTTCCAGCCTAACAGTCTACCATGGAATGTAGGTGTGATGGAAGAAACTCCAGTTGACAGGTTTGACTTTTAGGTCACCGTGAGGATGGAAGGTCACTAATGCTGTGGATGTGGGTCACTAATAACTAATGAGCTTGGACTGCTGATGAAACCAAGGATCTTTCTAGCCCTAGACTTATTTTTACATGAGAGAATCAACATCTTCTATGTTTAAGCCAATGTTGATTTGGGTTTCCTATATGTGGCCAATCTAAGTCTAAACTGATGCACAGAGATAGTCAAATATACACTGGGGAATGCTCATTCTGATCACAGAGTAGAGGATTATCTGAAGGGGGAACGGTGTCATGGGAGGATGGAAAAATCAAAAGCTGCAGCATCGCGCCAAACGAAATGAAAAGGAAGTAGCTCTGATGAAACAGGATGTAGTATGGAAATGACTAAGGGTGTGGAGAGTAGAGTCCCACTCCCTGGGTTCAAATCCTGGCATTACTGTTTACCAGCTAAGTGACCCTGAGATCATGAATTACCTATTTTAGTAATCATCAATAACAACAAGACATGGTAAATCATTAAAAAGAAGATATAATAGTATCTACCTTCTCAGAAGCTGTGAGGATTAAATGGGGAAATCCTTGGAACAGTACACACAGTAAGTGTTTAATAGGTGTTAGTTATTCTTTATTCAGCTAAAACAAGTTCAAATTCCTCTTCCCAAATATCATGGCCTCTCATTAGATAACCCTACCTCCTTATTCAGTATTTCCCTCTATTCCTTCGTACATACTCTAATCACACAGTCTCCTTGATGAAATACCAAAATGCTCATTCCAATTTCTGGGTCTTCAATAACAGTTTTTTCCAGAATGTCATTAAAAAAATTTTTTTTATTTTTAATGTTTATTTATTTGTGTGTGTGTGTGTGTGAGAAAGAGAGAGACAGAGAGAGAGAGAGAGAGAGAGAGAGAGAGAGAGAGAGAGAGAGAGGCAATGCAAGCAGGGGAGGGGCAGAGAGACAGGGAGACACAGAATCCAAAGCAGGCTCCAGGCTCTCATCTGTCAGCACAGAGCCCGATACAGGGCTTGAACCTGTGAACCATGAGATCATGACCTGAGCCAAAGTCGGATGCTTAACCGACTGAGCCACCCAGGTGCCCCCAGAATGTCTTTTTTAAATCCTTCTAACAGAATTCTACCCATCCTGCTTCAGTCCAACCTCCTCCATAAAGTCATCTCTGGTCTGTAGTTCTTATGATTTTGCTTTCTCTACAACCTGGATTGTCATCCAACTCAATGCTGACTTATATGCTTTTGAACTATTTCCTAAAGGTTTCATGTGCATATGTGTAACTTGCTCCTGCAGGAAAATTCTAGGCTTCTTGTTATACATAATCTCCATAAAACAATAGAAGTCTAATAGCTGTGCACATAGTTGGATGCTCAATAAAACCTCGAGTATCCATGTAAATCCATTTCATTTCTATTTCCACAAAGATTTTAGTTCAGGATGGTTAACCCTTTTATGCCAAGGCACTTCATCAACTGAGTGTTGGTCAGTGTAAAAAGAATGATAAAGGCTAAGTACGAAGAGGGGTAAAGGTGGACCAGAGAGCAAAGGTATGAGCCCCGAATTCTAGGGTTTGGGCGGGGAGATGACCAGCTTTATAGTCACTAATAATCTCAGAATGTTTAAGAAAAAAACACGTTTGGAATACAAAGTCAGAACAAGGTTCATATTTCAGTTCTCATGTCTCAGATTTTCAGGTTATAAACTTATAAAAATATGTATCTACTGTATGCCAACTACTAAGCTAAGCACTTTATATATGTTATTTAATCTGCAAAATAACCTGATGAGGCAGGTAATGTTATGTCTATTTTACAGGATACAAAATAAAGCTTCGAGAGGTAAATAACTTGTCCAAGTTGTTAAATAAATGCATTTATTCACTAGCATGAAACCTGAATATATTCAAAGACAACTCTGTCAGGTTTCTGTAACACAGATCACAAGAGCTGGGTGTGCCCACACTGCCTCTTAAGAAGACCAATTCACGTGGTTTACTGTGGTTTCTATGGAATAAGCGATTGCTATTTTCACATAATCAACAAAAGGAGTTTTACCGCCAGGGGGCAGCATATAAAGAAATGCCATTGGTTTTCTTTAAAAACAACCCTCTAAAAACTGGTGGAGAGCAATGGGATGATCCTCCTGGGTTGCACCCCGAAGCCACATCGATTCAGGCACAGGTGGGATGCAGGCTGCAGAGGCCTCCCAGGTGTCTACCGTCCCAGAATGCTCAGGGGCCTCTTGGGACAAGGCTAAAGTCCTTACCACCTGCCTCTGACAAGCCCTAAGATTTATGGGGATGCAACCTTTCTGCTGGCTGGGAAGAGGACCGCGCCCCAGTCGGAGACAGATGCTGCTTCCCACAATTCCTAAATCCTTTGAAACAACGAGAGGGGCAGGGTGGGTGTGACGTCTCACAAACTGTCCTGCCCGTGGGGCATCCTCACGGGCTGGGATGTCCTATCCGGGACTAAAGACTGTGTGAATTTGGAAGAAATACCAGAGATCTGTTTCATTCTTCCTCACCTTTACCACTTCCAGCTCCTCCTTGCTGGCTGTTTGCTGTTTCTCCAGTCTGGTACTTAACTGGGAGCAGATCTGAAGAAAAGAAAAGAGTTTCTTTACTGGAAAGCAGACCGACTCTTGCACAGCATGGGCACATGACTGTTTATCAACTCATATGAATTACTCTCGCTTCTCGGATGATGCTAAGATTGAGCAAAAGAACAGCCCCACAAATGCAATGCGCATCAGAAGGCCTGACAGTGTTCTGTGCGTAAAGCCTATCTTAGTCTTAATTAGAGGAAAAACACGTGGGGTATTTTGATTTCTGTCACTAGCCAAATCTGTGACTAGTTCCAGTGGATTCCTGTCCTATTTTGGATTCAACCTATGGCATCTTTGCTGAGTGTCAGTTCTGTGCAAGGTACCATTCTGGAAGTCTGATGAAAAGAATGCTGGACCAGAAACTGCTTGTGTCTACAGTCACACAGAGAGTCTCTGTTTTCAATTACCAGAGTTTCCCTAAAACGTGGCAAAGGGGATAAAACAGTTAAAATGACCAGAAATTAATAAAGACTAAAATTCTGATCTCGTGGTTTGGCAACACGGAGTGAAATAAAAAGCCTGAGGTCCAGCTCTAGTACTCTCCTTGGGCAAACTCACGAATCTAAGCTTCAGTTCTCTCCTCAACACTAAGTGCCGTGCTGTGATAATCAATGGGGAAAAAATGTAGGTAAAAGATTCAGTATAGCACCTGGCCTATAGTAAGTGCTCATTAAAGAAAATCTCATCATTATTGATTCTGAAAGAAGGTGCTAACAAGAAGTACTAAGAACAGGTAGAAATCAGTGCTTTCAAAACTAAAACCAACCAGACAAACAAACAAACGAGCCATTTGCTTAAAAAAAAATACTAGAAGTTCAAATTCCTTGAGTAACATATGAATCTTTTATTTTTGAAAAAATGGAGTAAAAAACGTTAGGGGATGTCAAATTTTAAAGTGCAACTTGAACTAAAAACATAAAAGATCTACTTCTATTATCAAAACAGATTTTTTTTTAAAAATCCCAGTCTACTCAAAAAATGGCTCTAGAGAGCAGGGCCTGCTTGTTGCGTTCAGTTTCTGATTTCTCCAGCTCTCAGCCTGTAAATGATGACTAGGGCTGTATCAGCTGATGTGAAAAAGAAGCAGTCTCCCCAGTAATTTTGGCAAACCAGAAACCCTTTCAAATAACCCCGAAGATTCCATAATAAGGACAATAATAGCCAATTCCAACTATAGAATGCTTTTGGATTATGTTTTATGTCCTAATTATCTTCAGACAGATGGGTCCGTTGCCTTTACATGACTGGTAGTGCCTGCCAGATAATATTCGAGAACAGTCCCAAAGATTACTATTTTGAAGAGTGCTACATATGGCGGCCACCCATGGCCTAATGTGGGGATGGAAAAAACCCATTTGCAGTGATGGCAAGTTCCATAGCGCATGGTCTTTAATGTTCCTCGTATTGGCTAATGTCTACCCATCCCTTCTCCTAGTTATCCAATCAGAAAATCTAGGGATCGGTGTTTTCCCTGGTCTCGCAAGAAATGACTACATTCCTCTTCTCCATTTTCATTACTACTTATTTTAGTTCAGGGCCCTGTATTTTCTCACCTGGCCTCTGCTGTTAGCCTCTTACTGGTCCATATCTTTGCTTGTGGGACTCCCCATTGGTTTCACATTTCTCACTGGGACAGATTAGTGCCACCAGTATTTCCCCCATCATGCCACTTTCTTGCTCAAACATTCCTACTATAAACAGAATAAAATCCAAGCTCCTCAGTCTAACTGAAGGACCCTCCTTGAACTGGGACCCAACTCACCTTTACTTCTTTTCTGTACTTGAAACTCTTGACAAAACAAAACTATTTCTGTTCGCTAACCTATCTCTGTGGCTTTGCGTGTGTCCTCTGTTCCCCATTTCTTTCCTCCTCTGCCTCCGCACACCCAAATCTTGCCTCGCCTTCGAAGCACCGCTCAAATCAACCCTCCTCCAGGAAGGGTTTTATTTCCCATGGTCAGTAAGTTCCCTTTTCTCTTATTTGTGCACAGGTGTTATCTCCCTGTTACAAGAGCAGCATCTAAAGGGGAGAAATTGAATTAACTCCTCTTTTATTCCCCCAAAAAAATCAAGCCTCTCAGATAGCAGACATTAAATAAACATATATTGATTATCATAAAAGAGAGTAAGACAGCTCTGAAGCCTTATTTCTAAGCAGTCTTCCACAAAGGAGAGGAACCCTTCTGAAAAGACGTTCATAATATATGAAGTGCACTAGTTGTAAATATCAGCATGGATGACATAACTCACATTTTTATTTACATAGCAGCAATGCATATTCAGTATATTACAGTGATTATTTCTAATCGGCAAGGTTAAGGGGGGAGGGTTTCTTTGTGCTTTTCTACACTTTCTCAATTTTCCATGAGGAACAGAAATTTCATTTCTAAGCAGAAAAACACATGTTAATAAAAAAGAGTAAGAATCAGACTTCAAACTCCCATATGAGGCAAGAGACCCCAGAGAAATTCTTAAGCTGAGGAGGTGGCACAATACGGTGCCTTGATTCTGGAACACTGGAACTTCAGCAGTCCACTCGAGGCTTTCTCGGCAATGTGGAGTCCTTGCCGTGTGCTAGGCATGAGCAGCAGGCACGAGATGATACTACGCAAGCTGGAAAGAGGGCTTTCTGGAAGCATTCTGGCGATGGGGTCAGGGCCAGATGCATCCTCAAGGAGAGCAAACCCTCCACTAAGAGATCAAAGGTTCCCAACAGAATGTCTCCTGCTAGCATTGGCCACGGTTGGGTTAGGCCACAGAGCCGTGTGGGATGAGGAATCGCTAAACCTTAGTCCTCTGCAAAGAGGCAAATGTTACTGGGGAGGTCTATTTGAAATCATCTTCTGAGTAGGGCAGAGACGGGATCCCAATGGTAATAATCCAGTTTCCTGTTCCTCTGAATCTACCAAACATCGTAAACAGCCAACAGATTGTTCTGTTCGGTTAAACCTCCCATGTTATCAGCAAGCATGTCAGCTCACTGTCTATTTCAGCGGAGAAAGTAAGCCACCCAGTGTAATGAATGTACGCAGTCACTATTCTGGAAACTCTAAAAACAAAAAAATGTTTTTTTACCCAAAGAGAAACAATAAGAAAAATCACTTTTATAGCAACATGAGCCACAGTAGCACACTACCTGCTTATACTCAGCGATGATCGCAGTGGTCTTCTTTATTTCATATTCTGCCTTCTCCAGCTGTTTCCGAAAGACTTCTTTCAGCTAGAGAGAGGGAGGATGCAAAACATCAAGACTCAAAGTCCTCATCAATTTCCACAAACACCTATACTTAAGTCGGCCCGGTCTGGTCAATGCCAACGTTAACAACTACAACTAGATAAATTTTCCTCACTGAAGCTATTTCTCGAGCATTCGAAAAGCCTAATCATGTCCAGAGATGCAGAAATATTTCTTTCCTGTAATGTGTAAGACGTATGAGCAACCCCATCATAGAGCTGCTTGTGCTTACCACTTACTTTATAAATATATTATTAAATAAGTGTCCCTTCTGAAGCTATCTTTATTCCTATGAAGAGTCTAAAACAAAACATCAGGGCAACGTTGCGCATAATCTTACTGCTAGGTAAGAAATTACTGAAGGGCATGTGGGTGACTCAGTCAGTTGAGCGTCCGCCTTCGGCTCCGGTCATGAGCTCACGGTTTGTGAGTTCAAGCTCCACGTCTGTGCTGATGGCTCAGAGGTGGAACCGGCTTTGGATTCTGTGTCTCCCTCTCTCTCTCTCTCTCCCCCCCTCCCCCCGCTCTAGCCCTTCCCCACTAGTACTCTGTCTCTCAAAAATAAACATTAAAAAAAAGTTAAAAAAAAAAAAAAGAAATTACTGAAGCAGCATTTTGGGCCTTTCCATTCCCAGCCCCCTCCTATCACTACTGTTGTCTCTCTGAAGGTGGCAACAGGAAGTTTTTGAGGCTGGAGTCAGAGAAACCTGGAGGAAGGTAAGAGCTCTTGACTCTTGAGGTCAGGAGGTTCAGGGACTGAACAGTGACTGCAGAAGGAGCTAGCTTGACACACAATGCGGGTACTTATTACAGTCGCAGAAATGCTCAACTCTGGGTGCTAAACTGAAAACCACACTTATTTTTGTAGCCCAGCAGCTCCGGGATTCTAGGGTCGGGGAAGGGAGGTGGTGAGAAAGCACACACGCCACCAGAAAAAAAGGAAGCGTTCAGTTCTTCCCAGGTGTTGGCCAAACAACCAAACACAAAACACTCTGGTTAATCTTTAAGCACATAACAGAATAAATGGATAAATTCTGTTTGGCAGCCTCCCAGTTATGAATGGGGTGTGCTCCGTATTTGCTAATTCGCACATGATTGCGATTTATAACTGGACTCCTTATTGTCGGATGCTTTCCAGATTTCTTCATATTTGCTATGTTCTTAAATTCTAAAAGCAATTTGTGGGTTATATTGATTCAAACTTAGTTGTTTGTATTTGTCTCTGTTCTCTGTCTTACATAATTTAAGGATGTAAGTCACACCCTCCTCCCTTCCTACAGTAAGGCCCCACTGACTTCAGGACAGACTTAGAAAGCTGAGGGGCTTTGAGCAAGTGTCACTTAATTCTCGAAACTATGGTTTCCTTATCTGACACACGAAGAGCATAATTGCTATCTCACAAAGGCACTATAATGATTAACACAGGATATATGCGTGCGCACGCGCGCGCGCGCACACACACACACACACACACACACACACACACACACATCAAGGGGAGGGAAGAAGTATGGATTAAACTAATTAATTTGCAGGGGCGCCTGGATGGCTCAGTCAGTTAAGTATCCAACTTCTAATCTCGGCTCAGGTCACAATCGCATAGTTTATGAGTTCAAGCCCCACTTCGGGCTCTGCACTGACAATGTGGAGCCTGCTTAGGATTCTCTCTCTCTGCCCCTCCTGCTCTCTCTCAAAATAAATAAATAAACTTAAAAGAATAATTAATTTGCCAATAGCTTCATTCTTTACCCAAAGTACTGAATTGGGTCCCCAAAAGGCAGGAGGTAAAGAAAAACACAAAACCCATCAAAATGCCTAGTTCAAACTGGATAATCAGCTCCTGAAAATTTTTGAGTGGGAAAAAAATCTTGGTCCACACTAAATGCCAAGAGTCATTTCATCATTTAAAAAAAAAATCATGAAACACTTTTTATAAACCCTGGAAGGTGCTAAAGGATGTATCCATTCATCAGAAACTTAAGTGGATTTCTTCTGCTTGGATGCAGGTCTTTGAAACGCTTTATGTTCTGTTTTGTATTTAGTGTTATTGATGTCTTAGAATGAAACTCATTAAAATAAGTGAGTTAATCCCGCCTGGCTGGGACTGACAGACGGAGGACATTGGTGAAGCGGGTCTGCTCTTTCTTAGGGAAGCCTGCAGCCTCAACTCTTTGGGTGGAGAGGCCCCTCCTGTCACTTATGTGGAACGCCTTTGCCACGGTGGCATCTTGCAGCTGAACAGCCTCACAACTCGTACGATGACTGGAGGGTGCTAACAACAAGGCTGGTTCCCAAAGAGCTGCTTTTTCTATTCCCCCCGGGGAGTAAGGGTTGAGAGCTCTGCCAGGAACGTTCTTCTAAGGCATGAATCAGGAAAATCGGGTGTGACTGACTGAGACAGCTTGCAGCAGAGATCTCTGTGGGCTTTCCGCTTCATAATCCTCCTAAAATACTGCTGAAGTCAATTACCTTGGAGACACGACACAAACTTTGCGGATTCGTCAAGGCTCTTGGATCGCAATTCCAAGTTACTAAACTTAGAGGAAGCTTAACACTCTCGCCAGACATCTGAGTCAAGGCAGATTCCTAAGAGCTGTTGGAGGGTAGAAACGCGGCCTCGTCTTCTAGCGCCCTTCAAAAGAAATGTCGAGACCCACGCTACTCACATGTACTGCTTCAAGGTGGCCCTTGATTTAGAGTAAGTGTCATTTTACTTCCTGCTTATTGTATTCATCAGCTCCACGGGCCGATCCTCCCGGGTGAAGAAACAGCCCACCTCTGCCTTTTACCTGTGCAGTCTCTTCCTCTTGCTTCCTCTTCTCCTCTTCAGCCTCCACCAGCCTCTGTTTGGTCAGGAGGAGCTCCTTATTCAACACATCCGCCTTGTCTTCTGCCTGCAAATCAGAGCACATCACACTGGTAAAGAAGGTGAAGGAAGCGTGCGTGTACTTCCTCCGAACCTAATCTCTAGTTACGACTGTTGCGTCACTACCAAAAGCCGTTTCTCCCCTCCTAGCTCACCCGGGGGTGGCTGCTCTCACTGAATGCCAACGATACAGCAGGCGCTTGGCACACGCCATCTCTGATCCTCACAGCAAGAATTATCTTACAGATAATGACAGGGAAGTCTGGAGGGAGCAAATAACCTGACTGGGGCAGACATCTAATATCAGAGCCACGATCTGAATTCTGAGTTGGATGGCACCAAAGTGCAGGCACTTTCTAAACGCTTCTTGCACGTTTTCAGATGTCACAACAGCACCCGCTCTGAGACTATGTAGATGGGCTGGATGGAACCTCCTATGGAAGCTTCTGGCTGTTAGTGCAAGGGGGTTGGGGGTGGGCTCAGAGAGGAGACGGGCTGATCCATGGACAACAGTTAGGTGAGAAAATTCAAAGACCAGCGGAGGTAAAATGGTTCACAAGGCTACTCCCACAGGACAGTGAGTACAGCAAGGAGAAATTAAGACCAAAAACCCATGACAGAGATAGCCATGAGGAAAAATGATGTATGGACCAGGAATGCAAACGGAAAAGACCACGTTTCTAGAATGGTCAAGAAAAGCTCAGAGACAATACTCCAGTTTTAACTTGGATACAGAGTCCAGTTAACCAGGAAAGCACTGTGCGTGCATTGAACTTAGTTGACAGGTGCCTACTGCATACTCTGGACCCTCACCTCACCCTTGAGGTCTCAGCTCCAAGTTCATATCTGCAGTAAAGCGAGACCTGAGCCCTGCCCCACTCATCCTCATCTCAATCAGCTTCTCAGCCCCCATCTAAATCAGTTCCTCTGATCAAATCTCTCCAACTTCCCTTGATCGCACTTAGCACAATCTGTAATAACAAGATGCATGTATGATTTATTTGTACTGCCCACCAGACTTTCAGCCCTGGAAGGCAGGAACCACGTCTCTTTCGCTCCTGGCTATTTCCTCAGCAGCAAGGCCAGCCCCAGGTAGGGGAGGGGCTCCGGAAGTATTTGGTGAGTGAACGGATGTGGCATTCAAGTCACTGCTGAAGCTACTGTGTGGAGTGGAGGTGGCGGAGGGCCATAGGATGAGTTCAGTAGAGGAAACCGCAGATGCAGAGGAGAGGCAGCTATTTGAAGAAGCCATCCCTGGCTGACAACAGCAAAACATTATCCAAGTAATTGTGAAAACTGGCCAGGTGGCCTTGTGTCTGTGTTTCACCGTATCGCCCACACGTCCAGATGGCCAGGCCAGCACCGTCTGCTGGGTCCTGGCATTCCAGCTTCTCTGTTCTGTCTTCCAGTTCCTGATGTCCCCATATTCTAACGGTTACAGTTCGGTGTTCAGATAATTTGCATCTATTGGGTAGCTGAGGTGAAAAAATCCCTTTTAAAGACTTTAAAATTTGTTCTGATAACACTGGATTTTATAGAGGAAATCTACACAGCGAAAGAACATCCTAAAATTAGAGGTGGGCAAAATACATGCTGCAAGTTAAGTCTTCATAAATTATAAGAGATCTCATGTAGATTATAGAAATTCAAAACAGCGAATTCTAGAGCAGCCAGCCAGATGACTGTAGTCAAAGCAGGGAGCACCTCCCCCGAGTCTCTGATGGAGGGTCACAGAGCAGCAAATGAAGAACAGCCATACAGGCCATTTTCATGTTCTTGAAAATCTAACCAAGATCTAGCTCCCTATAACTTCAACCCACTGGCTCAAGTTCTACCCCAGAATTTCTGAGCAAGAGCCCTCCTACTAAAGAAGGATCCTCTTCCGGTAGCCCCAGCAATTTCCATTTTGTGAAGAGAATATACATCATGACACTCTAAAGTGAATGTTATTCTAAGTTTGGTTTCTTAAAGAGATTCACCCCCAATTTTTAGCCTTTTGTAAATTTCCGAATAGTCAATGCTATCTGGACATTTAAGGTTCTTAAACTGTACACCATACCTAGACATTTAATTTTATAGTTTTGGAACACTAAAGGAATATTTCCAACATCTGCAGAAATTGCTGCGGGTCCCATGTGAGAGGAGTGCCAGAATTCTCCAGGAAGCTTCATCCAGAGTCTCTCCTCTATGTTAAATAGTAAAGTCAGAGAGATTCTGCTGCTCATCAGGAAAGGACCATATCTGAAAAAACTTGGTTCTCCTTCCACAAGCAGTCTTCTGGGTCTTTGTACGGCCTACTTCTATACTTGAGTAGAAGTCATCCTTAATGTTAAATGAATCTCGAGGGACGTAATACTAAACAGATACTCAAATTCTATCTTTGAACTCAAACTGTAAAACCTTCACCATAATTGGTTAAGATTATTGTCACTATTAAGTCTTCTAATCGCTTACCCACATCTTATAATGCCTTATTGATGTGGAGACTTCTACTTGCTACCGAAGGCTTCTACGACCTACATAAGACCTTCTAAGACCTACCAATAACCTGACCAAAAGGTTCAGCTCTCACATCAGGGATGAGGATCTTCCAGACCCGATTTCTCAAAGAACTAGCCAAGCCAGTTGTCCAATTTAAAACAAAACAAAAGACTTTGCCACCCATTACATGCATCTTCTGGTCTAACACGGAACTTGCTCTGTTTAGAAGGACTAGGCATGGTCTTCTACTGGGTATGTCTCTTCTGTTTGTTCCCTGGGAACAAGAAATGACAGGAAGGGCTTGAAGGCAGGCAGTGACAGAAACTGAAATGGAGATGTTGTATCTTTCTACACCCTTAATCGCTGAGGAGTCCATATTTCAAGCGCCTGATGGAGGGCAAGTTGTCAAAACAGAAAGCTGTGTCAGAGAGAAAATGAAGAGCCCAGGTGTCCAGGGTGCCCAAAGCCGGCACTAAAATGACACGGGTAAAGAATAATTTATTTACTTATTTATTAAAAAAAATTTTTTTTAATGTTTACTTATTTTTGAGAAACAGAGAGAGACAGCATGAGCAGGAGAGGGGCAGAGAGAGAGAGAGGGAGACCCAGAATATGAAGCAGGTTCCAGGCTCGGAGCTGTCAGCACAGAGCCCGATGCGGGGCTCGAACTCACGAGCCTTGAGATCATGATCTGAGCCGAAGTCGGACACTCAACCGACTGAGCCATCCAGGAGCCCCAGGAATAATTTATTTTAAAGAACACCTAATTACCGAATTAGTGCTTGTTTGCTTTACATATTGTCTTGAATACAATCTGCTTTCGTGTTTGTTTAATGTCTGCCCAAGTTTTGCTATTTTAATGAAGAGATTGGATTTGGATAAAAGTGAGAATGGAAAAGTATGGGGTGAAGCAGGTGAAGGGGGGGCGGGGCTTGGGCTTTCTCTGTGCGGCTGGTGCCCTTCCTGGCTGGGGGTGGGGGGTGGGGGGCAGGACACCTAAACTGCACAGACAGCTTTTTGACAGGCAAATAAACCCCGCTCAGGCAGAAACGGCAAAATCAGATGTTAGGAGGAAATATGCATGAAATAGCAGTTTTTGAATTCTTTCACTTAGATGATAAGTTTCAACAGGCAGGGGCCAGGTCTTACTCTTTTAAAAAGGGAGGAAATAAGAGAAAGAGGCAAAAATGAAGGAACCAAGGAATCTTTTCTTCAGGGACTAGTATCGAGTATCTACATGAGCTATCTACCCAGGTGCTCAATAGTCAATTATTTCAGGAGTGTCCATGTAGCAGTCTTTCCAGACTGATCCACAAAATGGATTTTCTTGGTGGTGCAATATTTTTTAAGTAATATATATTTTTCTGATTATTAAAAAGGTATAGGAGCACCAGGGCGGCTCAGTCGGTTAAGCCTCCAACTTCAGCTCAGGTCATGATCTCACAGTTTGTGAGTTCGACCCCGCATCCGGCTCTGTGCTGACAGCTCAGGGCCTGGAACCAGCTTCAGATCCTGTGTCTTCCCCTCTCTCTGCCCCTCCCCTGATCGAGCCCTCTCTCAAAATAAATAAATAAATAAACATGAAAAAAATTTTTTTTTAAAAAGGTATAATGCATATTATTACTTAACCAAGGGTGGTTAAGTATTTAAGGTGTTATAAAAGATAAAATAACTGAAAAAAATGTATAAAGATGAATGTAAAAATTAAATTGACTCTTTTAAAAAAAATTATTACATTTATTTATTTTTGATAGAGAGAGACAGAGCACAAG